TGCATGTACTGAGAGAGCTTGTTAACCGCAAATGCAAGGTCTGGTCTTGTAATTAAGAGATATCGAAGGCTGCGAACAACTGTTCTGTACTTGGTGGGATCAAGCAAAGCATAACCTAACTTTAGCAACGGTGGGCTAGTTGGAATGAGAGTGAGCACAGGTTTGGCATCAGTCATATGAGTTCTAGCGAGAATGTCCAAAATGTAACGCCGTTGAGATAATAAAATACCTTGCTGATTGGGGACTACCTCCACACCCAAAAAATAAGACAGCTGTCCAAGATCCTTAATTGAAAACCGATTAGCAAGAACATCAACAAAGGAGTCGATCATCTTAGTATTGTCTCCAGTGATTATTAAGTCATCCACATAGACAAGTATATACATACTATGGCCAGTAACAGTGAGAACAAATAGAGAAGTATCTGCATGGGAATTTTTGAAGCCAAAGTAAATATGGAAAGTGCGAAGTTCATGATACCATGCTCTCGGTGCTTGTTTGAGGCCATAGATGGCTTTTCGAAGTTTGCAAACATAAGATGGATGATCTTGATCAACAAAACCTGGTGGTTGTTGCATGTAGATATGCTCGGAGAGGTGGCCTTGGAGAAAGGCATTGTTGACATCAAGTTGACGTAAAGACCAACCCCGAGATACAGCAAGACTGAGGACAACACGAATTGTTGTTGGTTTGACAACAGGGCTGAAAGTGTCTAGATAATCGACGCTTGGTCTTTGATGAAAGCCTTTTGCGACCAAACGTGCTTTGAACCTGTCAATAGAGCCATCAGAGTTACGTTTAATTCTAAAAACCCATTTACATCCAACTACATTCTGTGTAGAATTAGGTGGAACAAGTTCCCATGTGCCGTTTCTAACTAAAGCATCATACTCATCAGACATGGCTTTACGTCACTTTGGATCTTTAAGGGCTGTAGACACGGTGGTTGGTTCAAGGTCGTTGGATTTGGAGAGTTGAGTATGAAGGTTCATTTTAGTGATGGGTTTATGGATGTGGTTCTTGGCTCGGGTGGTCATTGATGAGTGAGTTGGAAGGGGATGATGGTCGGGTGGGTTAGGAGGGGACGTTGGGATTTGTGGTGAGGGAGTTGAATTGGTTGAGGATGTCAAGGAGGGTTGGTGTGAGCGGGGGAGTTGGTTTGTGTTGGGGGATGGAACTTGTACTAGAGTGGGTGTTGGAGCTGCACTTAGAGGTTGCTGAGGAACGATGACTTCAGATGGCATAGTGAGTGGCGGATGGGAAGGGGGTGAGAGAATTGTAATTGGTGCAGGAATCCAAGTGGCAATGGGGTTGGGATGATGACTAGAGGACGGACCAGACAGTGAAGAGTAAGGAAACTGCGATTCAACAAATTTGACATGTCTTGAGACATAAATTTTTGAGGTTGAAGGATCAAGGCAGTAGTATGCACTTTGAGTGAGAGAGTACCCAAGGAAAACACATGGCTTGGACCGTGATTCAAGTTTGTGTGAGGTGTAAGGTTTGAGCCAAGGGTAGCATAAGCAACCAAAAACCTTTAATTTTGAGTAGTTTGGGGCTGTCTGAAAAATTTTGTGGTAAGGGGAGGAGAGATTTAAAGTGGGAGTGGGCATTCTGTTGATGAGGTAGATGGCTGTGGCAAAGGCATAAGTCCAGTAGGAGATTGGTAAAGAAGAATGAGTGAGAAGGGCAAGACCGGTTTCGACGATGTGAATGTGCCTTCTTTCGGAGTAACCATTGTGTTCAGGTGTATGAGGAGGAGTGGTGAGATGAGAGATACCATTGGTAGAAAGAAAATTAGATAGGGAAATGTACTCACCACCATTGTCAGAATAGAGTGTTTTGATGGTTGAATGGAAGTGTTTTTCTACAATGGCTTTGAATCTTATGAAGACTTCTTTGACATCAGATTTGTTTTTGAGTGGGTAAAACCAGATGTATTTAGTGAAATGATCAATGAAGATTACATAATATTTAAAGCCATTATGGGAGTAAATTGGAGATGTCCAGACATCGGAAAATATAATTTCAAGAGGTTGAGTAGAGACAATGGTAGAGTTGGAGAAAGGCAACTTGTGGCTTTTATTGCAAAAGCAAGCATTACATGAAAAATCATATGACAAAGAGGAAGATAAGCCTAAGCAATTGCTAGAAACAATATGTTTGAGAATTGGAAAAGCAGGATGTCCTAAGCAATGGGTCAGTCTAAGGACGTGGTCTTTGTTGCGGAGAAGGCAATCAGTAGTCTAAGCCGATCCATTTCTCACTTTCTCATCGTTTCCCCTGTTCTTCAGCACTCATGGCTACCGAGTCTGACCCTGCAACCATCCTAAACACCAATGCACCACATCAAACTCTCATCAGCATCAACGTTGCTGCTCAAGCTCCTCTCAAACTCTCCTCTACCAATTACCTCTCCTGGAAATTACAATTCCAATCCCTCTTCATTGGCTATGATCTTCTTGGCTATATTGATGGGTCCAAACCATGCCCGCCAGCCACCTTGACCCAAGAAAATACCACCACACCCAATCCCAGTTACAGTTTATGGATCCGACAGGACCAACTGATTCTCAACGCCATTATTGGCTCCCTTTCACCCACCATTATCTCCTTCATAGCTCAAGCCCAAACCTCTAAACAAGCCTGGACAATTCTAGCCAACACATATGCTAAACCCTCTCGTGGCCGCATCAAACAAATCAAACACCAACTCAAAAACACCACCAAAGGCTCCCTTAGCATCACTGAGTTTATGCAATCCATCAAAACTCGAGCCGATGATCTTGCTCTTATTGGCGCCCCTCTTGATGAAGAAGAAATCAACTCTAAGTTTCATATACACTTTGCAGCAATTAAATACACATAAGAACACTTGTTTGAAATCCTAAAAGATAAAGCAGTTTGAAACTGTCTCCTAACTCTAAGGAACAACTATTTGAATGAATGCAAACTAGAGAAACTAACGGGCTAAGATTATCTGTACAATGAATTCAAAATAAGAAACTAACGGACTGGTGCAAGTTGTTACAATCCTGTGATAGGGTGTACAAGGGGTATATCCTATTGGATACATGATCGGATTTTGGCAAAAAAAAACTCTTGAGTGGTCATTTCCTTGTACTTGTATTTTTCTCTTCTTATTGTGGAGGTGATAACTCTCTTAGGAGGAGAGAAATTCTCATGTAATAAAGATAACACATTTTGCTATCTCCGGTTAATAATACAATAACAAGTAGGATAATAATACAATGACATGTAGAAAAGTTCTCCTATGTGTCATTGCGTTATTGACTGGTGATAGCAAAAAGTGTTATCCTCATTACATGAGAGTTTCTCTCCTCCAGGTATGTAGTCATATCATGACCGTTGGGTGGCGCCCATCAAAAGTTTTTGAATATTTTATTTGGTCTGATGTGGCGTCTCTTGTAACTTGGATTTGGCGGATGTTTGAATCCCATAGGCGCTCGAACGTTCGTTTCTCTTTTTTGCTTTCCAAATATGGAATAGGGGCCCCTTCTTACCCAAAAAACAAAAAAAAACAAAAACAAATACGGAATGGGGGCTGCGTTGTTGCGTAGAGTTAGTACACGCGCTTCGTAGGAGCGTGAGAGGGTGCTTTCGTGGTTGTGGTATGTGAGGATTCGTTGAATAATTATAGCATGAATTGTTTTTTGGGATTCAAATCCTCCGAGCACATTAAATAATAATAAATAAAACATCTCTTCAAATCATACTATGAAATATCGATGATATTTCGGTTTTTTCGAATCACAGATATTTTGGAACATATCCATGTACATATCGTATAAATATCGACAATAATATCGGAAAATATCGATGTCGATAATTTCGCTCACACTTCAGCAATATTTTATCAAAATATCAGTGTAATATCGCTAAAATATCGAAAATATCGATGTAAAGAAAAAAAAAAGAAAAAGGAAAAAGAAGAAAAAAAAAAGGAAAAAAGGGAGAAAAAAAAAACACAAAGGGGATTTGAACCCCTCCCATGTTACTTCTCCAACACCTTAACCACCATATATCACTTATGTTTTAGTGATAATATGCTAAAATATTTATCTTTATATGAGTGGCATGTTAACAATTACATACAAAACTATTTTGGGGATTTATCATTTGATGAATACTCTTCACAATACACTTACTCTACACATGGAGATGATGAAGATAGTGAAATATTTTAACCTCATAGGAACTCTATGTGGTACTAAGTCACTCATGTATCTTACCATGCAATGTATAAAATGTAAAATATTATAGTAAATCATTATAGATAAATAATTATGATGTGTTTAATCTTTTTTTCATTAATTACTACATATTTTTTACATTCACAGTATTTGCCAGCTCGCTGTATAATCAACTTAAATAAATTAAATCCATCATGTAATGCATTTCCTTCTAATTTTTTTTAATAAACTAATAAATAATTGAATAAATAAACATTCTCCAAAGTTTTAATAAATTTTTTCAAGTTTTTCTTACAATTTCCGTAGTTTTTATTCAATTTTTATCGATATCGATAATATCCCGATATTTCCATCGAAATTTTCATGTTTTTGGACTATCGATATTTCCGATATCATCAATATTTTAGAACATACTTCCAACAAAATAAATCCTCTGAGCACATTTTCTGTCTGTCTCAACACCTAACACCCACTTAACACTCTACGTGGAAGGACATCACGTATTGTTTCTATTCTATTTGGTCTTGTGTTTCTAGATTCTATGATATTTGTTATCGCCAATCTGGATTTTTTATTATTATTATTTTTTTATTTGGTCAAGAATTTTGGATTTTAGGAAACACACCCAATGGGATTGCTTCCAAGTTCCCTCTCCCTTTTCACGTTCTCTGCTACTACTCCTCACTCAGCTCTGTCTCACCGATGCTCCCTTTATCTGCTGCCGTTTTATTGGCAGTCTTAGTCATTGGATTGAAACATTGACAAAGAACCAAGTTCCAACTCATCATGTGGACGTTGCGGTGGAAGAAAAAAAAGAAAAAAAAGGACAGGCTGCCGATTGTGCCGGAGAGCCCCATCGAAGCCAGATCCTCCTCGTCTGTCCCAACTGACCCTTACTCCGCCTATTCCATCACCAGCGGCACCAACTTCTCCCCCAGCTCCTGCACCTCCTCCGTCGCTTCCCTCAAATCCCATATCAAATCTTCCCTCCCCGAAAACCCCATGATCTACGACATGTCCGATATCCGCAAAGCTATATACAGCAAACCCAGCTGGTCCTCCCTCCGCAGCTCCCTTCGAGGCAAAGACGTCGTCATTTTCCAGCGCAAGTCCGTCATCCCCCTCTCCTACTCCGTCCTCAACCACCGCCTCGTCAAGATCTCCAAATCCTACCACACCAGCCTCATCAAGCTGCTCGGTGCCTCCCTATCCAACGAATACGTCTACCTCGTCTACGAATACGTCCCCGGAGCCAACCTTGTCAACTGCCTCCGCAACCCTAAAAACCCCGACTTCACCGTTTTGTCCACGTGGCTCTCCCGCATGCAGGTCGCCGCCGACCTCGCCGACGGCCTCAATTACATGCACCACTTAATCGGCGACAACTCCACCTTCGTCCACAACCACATCAAATCCTCCAACATCAACGTCTCAGAGCAGAAAAACCTCCAGCTCAGAGCCAAGATCTGCCATTTCGCCACCGCCGCGCTCTGCGGTGAGACACAGGCTCTGTCCTCGAAGGCGGAGGGCACCAGAGTGTACATGGCGCCCGAGGCTCAGCTGACGCACAAGTGCGATGTTTATGCCTTCGGGGTTGTGCTTCTGGAGTTGATTTCAGGGGAGGAGCCATTGATGGACGGCAATGGAGGAGGAGGTGGAGGAGGGTGTAGGAGGGTGAGTGTGATCGAGACGGCGAGGGAGGCTGTGAGTATCGGCGGGGGGGTGAGGAGGTGGGTGGATCGGAGGTTGAAGGACTCCTTTCCGATAGAGGTGGCGGAGGAGATGGTGAAGGTGGCGTTGGAGTGTGTGGAGGAGGATCCGGAAAGCCGACCCGACATGGGTCGGGTTGCGGGTTTGGTTTCGAAGTTGTTTTTGAAGTCGGAGAGTTGGGATAAGAAGATGGGCCCGCCTATTGACATGACAATTTCATTGGCCCCTCGGTGATATTACTATATTGGTTTACATTTCTTTTCCTGCAAAGTTGAACCAATATAGTACAAACATATTATAGTTATACATGTTCTTGTCCTAGGATTTGGCTGGAGGGACACTTGTACCAGTTGAAGGGCCCGAAGCTCCGGGTTTTGCTCTTGAGGTGTGTATGATTAGCTTTGTATTCGAGTATATTGCTAATTTTCTTCACGTATTTCTGCTTGCGGTATTTATTTGATGAGATGACCTTAAAATGATTAATTGGTTGTTACTGTTTCTTAGGATGTGGTTTTGTAATCTTATACATAGTACTACGTAATTAAGGAAATCTAGAATCCCAATCAACTCTAAACTGATAAGAAAACTCAGAATCAAGCATGGGGTTAGGGCTTTATAGAATCACACCTTGGTACTGTCATTAAGCATTCATCTTCGAAGCAATAGGGCTTAAGCAACAGTCTTTTTGTGAATGAGGAGCTGGAGCTCTTGAATGGTCCAATGAAAGTGCAGCCAGAGATTGTGAGAGAGGAAGATAGAGAAAGACATCAAAGATTGAGAGAGAGAGAGAGGGAGATGAAGAAAGAAGTCAGAGATAGAGAGTGAACGTTGTGGTCTAAAGAGAAAAAATGAAGGAGAAAGAAAAGAGAGATATTTTTGGCTGGTTGCAAATAGAGTTATGACCTACTAAAGTTGCACTCATAATATTTTTAAAAATATTTATGATTCATGGTGTATATAGAAGTACACTGTTGAAAGACGTACAAAATTACCATTTTAAGAGGTGCTTAATATGTTGTATAAATATCAATTATTCACCACATACATAAAAAAAAGTGTGCCGTACATAAATATCAAGCCGTAGAATCTCCAGTTTGGTGTAGTGAGTACGTAGTTAAACTAATAGCTATACCACTGATATGTTGCACACATGTGCATGCACACTTTTATGCTCACATTGATCTATGGTGATCTATGGAGCCCTAAAAGGAGCATATCTATACCAATATAGATTCACTTATGCTTTATGGTGATGCTTGCTTCTCTTTAACCTTTGTGTGTTTCCTTTTAATGATGGTTGAAGCTAGGAGAGTGAAAACTGGGATAATTATTAGACACATCTCCTCCTGATTTGGATGAAGCTATTGCAATTTCCAAGGTGTGTCTTTTCTGGCTTGCCAACATGCACAAAATCTTTTTAGCTCTTTTATTAGTTATTACTTTTAAGCTGGAATTAGTGCACTATGATGGGATAGGCAATTGGAACGTGGAAGACAATTTCCCCTGGTTCTGGGATCACTTGATTGTATTGTATTTCCTCGTAAACATATGGCTAGTATGTAACTGAAAAGACAAAAAATATATGGCTAATCTCAAATGAATTTTAGCATTCTTATCTGTGTAGACATGTTTGCTACTAATTGCATGTTCTTTTAATTTGCAAATAGTTAACATTCTCTGTTATACAGCTTAAACAGAAGATATATTCAGCCACCTCAGCTATCAAATCTGTCTTTGGGCAAGAGCAACCTCAACTGGGAGCAGTAAGTCTGATACTTTGAGCTGTTTTTATACTCTGCTTCCTAGACAAGTATGCTAACCTTTTAATTGTAAAACTTCAATGCAGGCTGACAAATTAGAGCGACTCAGAGAGAGGATGATTAAAGTGCTTGAGCTTTTTCCGCGATACTGATTCCACGGAGTTTGTCATAGTAACAATACCCACGGTAAGATCTTTGAAAATGTGGTTTGATACTGGATGTTTGTGATTTTTGTGTAAATGTTGTTTTCATTTATGCTGTAATTTAATATGTTATCAGTTCACTTTGATAGAGATTTGTTTACTTGATTTATATTCTACAATGTAGTCTTGTAAAAAGATGGATCCCTGCATATTATATTTCCTCTTTTTTCCTTCCTAGCGAGCATCATCCATCCTCGATGACTACTTGTTTGATCTACATTCGCATGAGCATCAAACTGCCCAATCCCAATTTAATTAGGCTCCAACTCATATATCCTCCAATATGGTTCCATCATTCAATAACATTATCAAAAGCCTTAAACTCATTTGACAACCCAACTCATCATCCTACTTAATTCATCATGCGCAACAGAGAGTCAAACAATGCTTTTAATAGGTGCTACTTACTGTAACCGCTTCAACCTTAAAAAAAAAAACTGAAAACATTTCACAAGTAAAACAAATATCATTCCAAATACACAGCACTTGCTGCCATGATTAGTTTCATATCAAAATTCAGATGTAAAAGCCAGATACGAAATACATGTAAACGTAAAGGAAATACAAAGTCTACCACAGTTCTATCATAATTCAGTGATATTTTAAATTAAATGACAGTCCTTTGGAAAAATAAAACACCCCCATCTTTAGAGACCAAAGCAACACACAACCTTCACGCCACACAAAACCCGCTTCATACTTCACTTTCTATTCTATTTTCTTGGAAACCAAACAGAATAGTCTAAAAGCAAAGCATAACATATGTACATACATTCTAATATGTAATCACGAATACGTATCTATGAGTGTGTCTCATTTTGAAATAATAATCAATAAATACATTGAACCGTGAAGAATTCAGAAAATGAAAAGTGAAAGTGTTTGAAAAAAAAATAAAAAATAAGGGAACTTATAGTTACATTCCGAGGAGATGGAGATGGATCGCGTCATTCAGAGAAACCCTAGCCTTAGCTTGATCCACGAAGAGAGGGAAAATTCAGAGTGTAGGAATCAAAGCAAAACCAAAATCCTAAGATTGATTTTTGGGTTTCTTTAGCACAAATTTGTATTCGAATATCTATACATTTTAAATATTAAAATAAAATTTAAAGAGTATTTAATTATATACCTGGATCTTTTTTAAAAAAACAAAAATATTTTCCTAATTTTTTTTATCGATAAGAGTAGTTTAGAGCATTATCCATTACTATTTGGCCATTATTCGAGTCTCTATTGTCTCCTTTTGATTTTTAACAAGCATTTTCCCGTTTAACACTTGTATTATACATATACGTACATATTTTTTTAATAATACTTTCGTTTTGCGTACACGTCTTAAAGACTTAGTACAATACACGTATGCACATATTTTTCATATTTAATACACTTATTTTTTAACAAAATTTTCAATAATACATACAAAATTCAAGTATTATACACATTAAATTATATTAAAATATTATATGGTGGTCGAACTTTTTAGTTCCAGAAAATTTTCTTTTTAGTAATTAAATAATATCTTAGACTTATTTAATGATTATTTCTTTAGTGAATAATTAAATACTTTAATTAACTTAATAAATGGTAATTATTATTTTTATTTAGTCAAATATTTAAATACTAATTATTCACTAATTAAATAGTATTTAAAAAAGAGAAATCAGGAGTATGCTATTCAATGGGTATAGCCGGGCGGCTATACTTTAAAAATATTCTATTTAAAATATCCTTTTCAAAATTTTATTTTTTACTCATTAAATAATATTTTAGCCTTGTTTAAATACTTTCCTAGAAATTTAGTTTTTGTACCCAAAATATTTTAGCATTCAAAAAATGGATTTTAGCCTCGAAACTTAAATCCAAATCACAACGTGATTCGATAATATCAACTGCTTGTTGGAGTTCGATTGAAATATATGAACTTGAGTCCCACATTGGAAAAGAAGATAAAGTATCTACTCTTTAGTAGGCTTATGGTTAGGGTTTGCTTAAGAAAGCTTTGGGACAATTTCGGAAGCTAAGGCTTTTGGTTCGAGACTTGGATTTACACAAACTAATTTTGTGAAAACAAAGTCCATAATTAATTACTATTCATTAAGTAATTTATGAAATGAGCAAAATATTTAAATATTCACTAAAGAAATAATAACTAAACATAATTATCAATTAAAGTAATTAAAAAAAAGTCTATGATATTACCTAATTACATATATTAAACTAAAGAAGTTGGCTAAAAAATAAAATTAAAGAAACTAATTTTACATGTTTAAAATAAATAAAAATAAAAATAATTTAAAAAAAGAAGAAAGAAAACCTCTCTCGATGAAAGTTCGTCGGGACAGGTTTATCCGGGCACATTTTCACCGGATTAGAGTTCTCTCGACGAACTTCGTTGGTAGAGGTTTCGTCTGGATAAGTCTTATACCTGTGCCGATGAAAGTTCGTCGGGAGAGATTTTATTTAAAAACAAATATAAATTTAGAATCTTTTAGGTCCAATAAATTTTATTTTTAGTAATTAAATAATATCTTAGACTTATTTAATTATTATTTCTTTAGTGAATAATTAAATACTTTAAGTAACTTAATAAATGGTAATTATATTTTTTATTTAATCAAATATTTAAATACTAATTATTCACTGAGTAAATAGTAATTAAAAAAGAGAAATCAAGATTATGCTATTCAATGGGTATAGCCGGGCGGCTATATGTTTAAAATATTCTATTTAAAATATCCTTTTCAAAATTTTCTTTTTTATTCATTAAATAATATCTTAGCCTTGTTTATATACTTTCATTATGATTACGTTTTAATTATTATTTCTTTAGTGAGTAATTAATATTAATTTTTTAATTAACTAATAAATAATATTACTTCATAAATAGTAATTAATAATTCCAAAAATGGATTTTAGCCTCTAAACTTAAATCCAAGTCACAATGTGATTCGATAATATCAACAGCTTATTGGAGTTTGATTGAAATATATGAACTTGAGTCCCACATTGGAAAAGAAGAGAAAGTATCTACTCCTTAGTAGGCTTATGATTAGGGTTCAAGGCTTGAGAAAGGTTTGGGAAAAATTTCGGAAGCTAGGGTTTTTGGTTCGAGACTTGGATTTACCCAAACTAATTTTGTGAAAATAAAGTCCATAAGTAATTACTATTGATTAAGTAATTTATGAAACGAGCAAAATACTTGTCACAACTGTCTTGTTATTTTCTATTATTTCAATCCCTTGGGCGTACCTGAATAGATTAATTTAACATA